TGCCAGTTCAATGAATGCGCGTCTCCACACTTCCCCCAGTCTGTTGAATGATCCAGTTTATCACAATCAAGAAGATTACTAGTGATGGCACATAGCCTTGTCTTACACCGTGCATCGTTTGACACTGAGGCAATACTTAAAACATGAATATTTAACAGTAAACGCAAAATATAAAAAGGCTAAACAATTTCTAATCAGGTTTTTACATGATCAAATAAATTCCACTTTTGCAGAGAATCAAAGCAGGTGATGTGAAAAAGTTTAAATCAAGAATCATTAAAACTTTGAATGTGAAGTCATAATTATCTAAAATCATATGATATGAGAATAATTTCTGAGTTTTATTTGTTTTAGTGAAGATCATGGCTAGCTAAGTACTACTGTGCTGAGAGCTGGCTGCTAGCCAAAGTTGGTAGACAGTAATTGACGTCAATGTTTATGTCCCCAATATTGGTGGTGAGAAAATGAGAACAAAGCCTTTGCGTAGGCGGATACAGTTAGCATATGGATGATCTGACACAGCCACAAAGTGATGCAAGGTTAACTTTCTGTGAGAAACAACCAATCAAAAGACTGTATTTTCTACTAACAATAATCTACAATAATGTACATTAAAATCTATAAATATGTGTTGATTTTCCTTAATAAACGATCTGTTGCCTGGCTCTTGTCTTCGGGTTTTGCATTACAACCTCACAAATGATAACAGTTAGCACGGGAGCTTGTATAGCTTTGTCATAAGTAATATATAAAATATGTTGATCTGATTAATCACAACTAGTGATAAAAAATAATGAAGTAATTAAATGAATAACCTCTAGTTTCATCCTTTTTTACTAGTATTTTTTTTCATGATTGTTATACAAAAAATACGAGAAGAGAATCATCATTATCCTCCAGTATTCAATCAATAAGTAGAACAGTACACAGATAAGTGGGAAGACGGTAAGATATAACCATGCATATATCCTTGCGTGAAGTGAATAGTAATGGCGATTAAATAAGAGTAAGTAGAAAGCGAAAAATTGACTTATTTTACGCTCTAAAGCACAGATAATTAATGTCTAGTCATGCGGGAACTAGAAGAAGCAGTGAAGACAGGACTTCAAGTGAACATAAACAACACAGAGGTGTTGATGATGCCTAACAAGAAACAGTAACAACGACAAACACTTATCGGTGTCAACAAGAGAAACGTGTAAGGAAACACCTCTTCCACTTGCCTGACCAGGCAGCATCATTTCAACTGCAGGGGGTGCCGAAGAGAATGTCAAAGTCAGGCAGGATCAGAAAGGCAAGACAGAACTCCGTTAATCTGAAATGAGCCTGGAAATCTACTACACTTAGCATTAGCAACATGATTCAAATTTTCAAGAGTAATGTGAAATCAGTGTTTCCATATTGTTCACAAACTTGATGTGTGTGACAGCAAAAGCACTTCCAACATACCACAGTGGATATCATCAACAGCTGTCCCATTAAATCGACACTGAATATATCAGATGACAGGTCGGATAGGATAAGCAATAAACAACTCTGGCAACAAACCACCAAGAACCTATCTTCTAACGCACCTGGCACTTGAGTGGAACCGGAATGGCGAGTGGTGGGTCAGGTGTCTAAGGGTGATAAGAAGATACCGTAAACAGGAAACGAAAGCTTGTGGGCAATCATGTGACCCATCCATCTGGAGATGGACTACTAAAGCATAGTCTTCCACTAGAAACACAAAGAATAACTATTAATATAAAAATGACCATAGAACAAATGAAATGACCCTATTTACAGAATAGTGATTTGCTTGATATGTCGGTTTAATTACAAACTCCTACTAACCGATCAGTTGTTACTCACAAAAATTCCCAATCATATATGAACTAATCTTATTCAAGCCAATTACATGGAAAGAGATGGTCATCACATACTGATGGAGAATTCTGAAAGCTGCCTTAAACTTGAAGTTACTACTGACGTTTTGTGTAGAAGGACAATAAAAGCTTTACAATTGATCCATCCTGACCTGGGGCGAAATCCTTCCTCATCATTTGAAAATGAGTTTTCACAGATTAAGTAACTACCACAAGCTTCTATATAAAATAAGCGTAGCTCATAGCCTGGAATCCACAAAAAATATGAAGTCTATTTGCAGTAACTATCAGATAAAATTCTACTTGCCGTTATGCTTGAAAATAAGCGATTTTCAAGCATGAAATAACCTACACTTAAGCTAAATATTTAGCCAGAGGAGATTGTTGAGTGATATCACGTATCAGTCACTCGGTCGAACTTCAAACCGGCAAACAACGATTTGTGTATGGGTTCGAGGGTGACTTGGATGAGGTTGTGTGAAAAAGGGATGGGAGCTTACGGTAAATCGTGAAGCCAACTCAAAAGGACTGCAGTAAAACAGAATAAAATGACATACGTTGTTGAAGCACAATATTCCACTTGGGATCCAAGAGGAAATAGTAAATAACTAACAATATAAGTAGTACTGGACAGCTGTTTCGTCCTGGTTTGGGACCCTTCATCAGTACGCACCCACCGGGGTTCGAACCCAGGACCTTCTGGTTACAAGGCGAGCTCGTATACCATTAAGCCACTGGGACCCCATCCAATGGCCCATGAATTTTAACTTCTGCCAATTCACGATATAGCACAACCGCTAGCCAATGTCTTCGGCGAGTATTTGTCCTCACACCCGACCTGCTGCACCCTACTGATCACGACTTCCCACTGGAACCCCAGGTAACTACTTACCTGAATAGGGCCGAAGACAATGGCTAGCGGTTGCGCTCTATCGTGAATTGGCAAAAGTTAGAATTCATGGGCCATTGGATCGGGTCCCAGTGGCTTAATGGTATACGAGCTCGCCTTGTAACCAGAAGGTCCTGGGTTCGAACCCCGGTGGGTGCGTACTGATGAAGAGTCCCAAACTATGATGAAACAGCTGTCCAGTACTCCCAGGTTTTCCAATGGTTCTCTAACCAATGTCAGCTCATGATGAAATCCTGTAACCAATCAACCAAATCCCTACAAACTAATACTTTAATATAAGTAGTATTAATACATAATAATATAAACACCACTCTGTAGAGTTCCGTACAACGTATCCTTAGAAGATCAAGTAGGTAATATGTGAGAAATTAAATAATTTTGCACTCAAAAAGGCAGATTCACAGCCCTAAATCAATAACGCACAATAGAATACGCAAACAGCCACACACACACACACACATAGACGCGCACGTGTCTACGCCCTGGCAAGTGGTATGATTGGTGAAGACCGTGACGAAGCGTAAAGGAAGTGAGAAAAACAAGATGAAGAAGAAGAAGAAAAGCAATAATACTACCACGCAATAGCATCTTCAGGCAGAAAAGGAAAACCTCACTACAACTGTAGTAGTAAGTCACGTATCTGTGCTTTAATGAAACAGCGAAGAAGACAAAGAAGAAGCACTCATCAAGCACTAGCGCACAGTGGCATAATCCTCACCTGTCGTGAAACAATAAGCGAATAGGTGCAAATCATCATTCATTATGTTAATTACTAAGAATACACACACACTAATAAAGTAGCTAGTAATAAAATAGTAATGATTTGATACCTATAGCTTTATATCTTTTATGAGTAGCTGCTGCTGGATATTCTATACCCTTGGATGAAACAGTTGATATATTTGAAGAGATTTTTGGAATATTGGCAGGCGTATACAAAGTATCTGTGAAAGTAATTATAAATACGTATACATCCATACAGACATAAAGAATATGATTTATTAATCTATCAGTAGAGATGACGTAATAACTTGATCTCCCTACAGCTTTTTCTTCAAATAAAAATGGGATATTTAGGGGCAGCTGTGGACTCTTCATCACCAAAGAATATTATGCAGATAATGTATTACTCCTTTTCCCGATATAAGAAAGTCTTCAACAATGTTATCTGCAACTCCGAAAGGTGTCAGTCAGTCTATGACTGAGATGAAGAATAAGTTTGCATTCGAACTAGAAGCCTCCACAAAAGATTAGTCGATGGTGGGTAGACTTCTTCTCTTCAAAATGCTATCAAATGGCCAGGAGTTTATAACTTCTGCCAACCAGGGAGGTTCTATCCTCTGCTTTCATGTGCCGAATGTGTTCCTCACAAAAGTGATAGGGGGAATACGGACATCTGGCGCTTACAAGCCGACTGGTGGACATGCAGGTCTACCTAGAGGGGCTAGAAAACCCTAATTCCAGGAACCGAAAGAATCGAATGGCGTCTAAACCTGTTTCGGTCATCACTAACCATAGAAATGCTACTCCACTGTCTTGTAGATCACACGTTAATCCAAAGGCTTGGGAAGGTAGTCGCTTTAACCAACCACCTGCTTTGATATGGGCGTTCGGGCAGTACCCGACCCTATCACAAACTATGAGATTTTATGCAGCGCATCCCATTGGCCCCCAAAATGTACCCAGTTCATGTTTCAATAATAATATTATTATTATTAAACTAGAAGTTCAAGAGGTACTGCCTCGTAATAATGAACCCATACTACCCAATAACCATCACATCATTATTGAAAAGTAATGAAACCAAGTTTTAGAAAGTCCATTAGTGTTTTATTAGTTTTCAAGTTTTCCTTATAACCGATGATAAACGATGATGTAATCTACCCTGAATATGAAAACAGACTTCTTATTTTTCTTGTTGTACACAAGCTTAATTTTGACTTTCTTGATAATCTTTTTTTCGTAAATAGGCAGAAATACGACTGAAGGAATATATGTAACTTTTTAGTGAAGTCAAGATGCTGATCTGTTATTAGCTAAGATTATAAAATAGTTATTCACATGCAAATATTCCAAGTATGTTGTATATTGTAATAAATAGTTATCCATTGTTCAATAACACTATACAAGTGAATCAGATAAGTAGTTGTTTTATCTAATTATGTAATCAGTCGGAGAACAATGAACAGTGATCATTAAACAACAACAATAACAAAACTAACCTCGATAAGATGTCCCACCAATAGACAACTGACTTCTGAAATAATTAAAAATCAATAAATAGATGAGATAGAATAAATAATATTATTAGGCACTTGCCAACTTGGATTCTAAACAACATACTGAAAAATACACAGCATAAAACTGAAAGTAATTTATTCATTATTACTAAACTAAAAAAATCAATTAATGAATTCGTTGACTGTTATGCAGTACCATGTAGGGGAGAATGTAGCGCCTGTCTAGCTGAAGTCCTCAGGATGTAAAATTCAACATTTGGAGACTTATTGTGACAGCTAATGGCTAAGATGTGTCCATCCATTTCGTAGTCTAAAATGTTTTACTAATCTTCATTAAATTATTCTCACTGTGGCACACAACTCTGTCTTAATTTCGTTTTTATTCCCTTATTTTTCGTATTTCACCCAAGTGTACAGGTTTGATCACGAGATAACATCAGTTAAAGAACCAATGAGAACCAGGGGACACTGGACACTTGTTTCGTTTTTGTTTGGAGCTCTTCATCAATACGCACCCATGATTCACCCCACTAGGGATTGAATCTACGACTTTTAGGCTACAATGTGAACTCATTGACCATTCATCCACTAGCCTATCATCAATTCTACCTTCTGACAATTCGAGATATTATAGGGCGACTGCTAGACGAATTCATCAGAGAGTATGTATTCTTACACCCAATTTGGTGGACCCTGCTGACCACTAGATTAATATTCGAGTCACGGGTCATAGGAATCATTAAAAAGACAATTACAGCGAAGAAAATTTTCTTTCCGACGAAGTCATCATCTAGGCTGTACATTCGTGTATTTATAACAAATGGATGGGAAAGTTCCAGAATAATTCCCGGTTAAGGGTCAAATTAATAAAATTACAATTAGGAATTAAAATGCCATAATAAACAGGAGGACGGATAAAACTGAAACAAAGTAGCATTATAATACCTAAGAAGATTGACATTGTGCAATTGGGGGTTAGAAATGTAGAAATAACAAAATAGACAGGATGTTTCGATAAAAAACTAATGTGATGAATAAGTGTTTATGCAATCAGGGATTAAATATGTAGAAATAGTAAAATGACAAAATAAACAGGAAGTTCGGATATGAAAATATGGTAGTGTAAATAGGGGTTGAGAAAAAATAACATGAATAAACAGGAAGTTAAGATAAGAAAGATGATGAGATCGTCATTAATAAAAAATTTACCTGTTTATGATGGCCATGGCAGGGACAGGGGTTGGACGTATTTCTTTTGGATACAGAGAGTGGGTTTGAGTTTTTGGATAGCTAGTGCCTCAGCTATGCCCAGATGTCTTGATAGGTTTGATTGAATCTTGTAAATTACTTTGAAGGATTTTTCGAAAGGCGCTGAATGTCCTGAGTTGACCAGATATTCTGTCACTGAACTGTATACACGTTTTTGGTCTCCTTTTACGAGCCAGGCTGGGTAGTGTTCGCGAGCCCGTTTTTCAAGTTGGTGTATGGTACGGCCGATGTACTCAGCTCCACAAGAACAAATAAACTGGTATATGCACGTTGAGGTGGTCCAATGCGACAGCTTGTCTTTCACGTTCTGGCTGAACAGTTTCTTGCAAGAAAACGTCAGTCGTAGTCTCACGTCAAAGTATGTTTTCCTCAGCGATTTGGAGAGGCGTTTGCGAAGGATTTCTGCTTCAATATCACCTTCGAATTCTAGATTAAGCAGAAGTATTTTCTTTGGAACGGATTGGACTTGTTCGGAAGTCTTCTTCGATTTGAGATTCTTGTCTATGAACCTAGGCGGGAAACCGTTTTCCATCACGGTGTTTCGGTTTTTCGAGTGCTGATTTGCAGGGATTTAATTGCTTTTAAGTCCACTAAGTCTGGTGTTTGGACAGATACGCAGCGATAATATAAGCTAGCTGTAGCGCTATATCACGAATTAGCAGAAGTTAAAGTTGATGGGTCATTGGATTTCCTTCCAGTAGCGGGATGGTATACGAGTTCATCTGGTAACCTGAAGACTCAGGGTTCGACCCCTGGTGGGGTGTGTCATAGGTGAATACCGCTAAACAGTTCCAAACAAAAAGAAATAGCTGTTCAGTATTTCGTAGTTCTCAGTGTTTCTCTGACTGAAGACAATTCGGTACCAAAATTCATTGTTGACATTACACAACAGCAACCACATAAATATTCATACAGTTGGCAATAAACTATATCTTTTAATTGAGGGTCTTAATGATGTAAGGATGCTTTCTTCTGAAGGGAAATTGAGAGCGCCTGTGTTCTGCTCAGTGACTGAGAATCGAATGTTTGAACAAAGTGGATTGTCAACAAAGCTCCATTAGGATGCAGAAAACGTTCCCTCTTCTAGGAGTCAAGCTTCATCACCCACACATCTATACATGACTGTCAATTGTCATTGATTTCTCGCCTTTCAGTCTAGACTAAAACTATTGCATAGCATATTGGGTGGAGATTTTTTTATATGAGCCACACTTGTGTGAAGGCTGAAAAAAGTCAAGGAGAATGAGAAACGGGGCTAACTATAAAACAGTCATCATATCTGTTAATGAGGTAAGAAATCGTTTATACTACGGGGAAAATATTCATGCATCTGATAACAACCACAACGCGAAGCACTTATGAAAATCGAAAAGATTTTTATCGTCAACAGCACAGGCGCACCACCGGTTGTTTTTCTCCTCGATTTTCGCGTTAAAATTCCATGACAAAAGAATCCTCACTTATTTGTACAAAAAGTTTATATAAACACTAGTACTAATAATAAGACTTACCCCCTTAAATTTGATTTTGAACTGCAAAAACAAATGAAAAACATGAATAAAGCAGTAAACGGGGGAAATTTGTTTTTGAGAAAACGGGTTGTACAGATTCAGAAACAAACAAGGCTATACTTCAACTTTGTTTTAAAATTTATTGAATGACTATATTTTTTATCAATCAGACACTAAACTGAAAATAGAAATTTCAAAGATGTATAAGCAGTTACTACGTAATGACCAAAAAATGGTAACGACTGACACTTCCTCAATGGAATATAATGTTGCTCCAACAAACACATTTGTGCAAATGCACTCAGAAGTGACGTTAAAACCTCCATCAAGTCATAAAAGAATAAGCGTTCAACAAAGAGTTATTCTGTTCAACGATGTCATTCGCAAGCTGTACAATCGCATGCATATTTAGCAAATTTTCCTAGCAATGAAAGAAATACTTCCAAAGATGTCTCATTACAGTTGTAAGTGTTTGACAACAATCATGTAATACGAAAACCGTGAATTGGAAACTAGGATATTAGAAACTAAAATTAAATTAAACAAGTAAATTGAATGATGCAACACAGTTGAGAGGATTGAGCAGAGTTCAACCAAAACTGAAAGAAGTTCATGTTCAGATTAGCGTGATGAGGAGTTGGAAAATGACAACATTCAGGAAAAATTAAAACTAATGAAAATTACGCAAGTGGTGGGATAAATTAGATCCATTGTACGTCTAGTGACTGATTCAGATTATATGACAATGGAACATTGAAAAGACCCATCTACAGAAACGCGATATAAAACGGACAACTCACAAACTTCGACAGTTAAGTGCCTTTACACAAAAAACGAAACTTGATTCGCTCAATGAGCCACAGAATCCACAACATTTGTAGCTCTGCTATCAGAGAAGGAGACGAACAGTCTGAAAAACGATTCTCATTGAAAAAAGATACCCTGAACACACTGTCACAAAGTTCATGAAGCCTACAATGCCAAAACTACACACAATTTCTGTTCCTAAAAGCTTATCTAAGTCTGCAATTCAATGGAGACTTATAGGCAAAAATACTAAAGAGCCGCCTGTCGTATTCATTGAGAAAAACCTCCGCAGCTGAATATCGACTTACTTTCTTTACAAAACCAATGATTCGTATGAATGCACAAAACAAGTAACAAATACTGGCCTCAACCAATGTGTGTCTATCAATTCACCTGCACCTGCACAGCTAGATATGCCGGGCGTATTCAGTGTTTGCTACCTAAGTGTATCGTCGAACATTTACCCTCATGATTTCAATAAGAAAAAAGATCCCTCCTGCAGCTGTTATTCTAGAACACCTGATCGACACCGGACACCGAACGAACAAGCAAATCAACTTCAGAGTCATCTACAGAGCATGAAGAAATTTCGCTAAGTGAGTATGAAACGAACTTCTTTCAACCGCAGAAATTACGACAGTTCACATGTAAAATTCTCAATCGTGCGTACAGAAGGAGTTTGTTCAGTCACTGAAACTACGATGGACTTAATTTGTCTTAACACTTGATATATGATTTTTATTAGTCCTAATTTCTTAATTTTACTGTTTCCACCCTCCGCCCACTATCACATTTCTACTCGTAATATAACACTTACTTTAACTTGACTCTCTTTCGATTTTAGTCGAACTCTGCTCAATCCTCTCAACTGTGTTGCATCATTCAATTTACTTGTTTAATTTAATTTTAGTTTCTAATATCCTAGTTTCCAATTCACGGTTTTCGTATTACATGATTGTTGTCAAACACTTACAACTGTAATGAGACATCTTTGGAAGTATTTCTTTCATTGCTAGGAAAATTTGCTAAATATGCATGCGATTGTACAGCTTGAGAACGCTATTGCTGGACACCTCTGTTCTCTCGTATAACAAAAACTAATTGATGATGGTGAGACTATGGGAGATAGTTTTGAATCGGAAGACTACTCCTAGTAATGTAATGGGTAATGATTGGAATTGAAATAGAAGTCTGTGCCACTAAAGAATTAGAACCAACAGTTATGGGTCAGGAACTGAACCCAGAACTTAGGAAAACGACCTGTCGTAGATAACAGTTTTTGATTTAAATTTAGATATCTCTAATAAAAAGGAGGAAACTTTCAAACAGATTTACGATCTTATTTCTTAACTTACACTAACTCGCACAAATGCAGGTTATCAACTTTTCTTCACTCATATGCGATTGCCAGTTAACATATAACGCATGTTAAGGATACTGCCACTACCCCCTTATTTATTTCTACAAGTACGAGGAATCCATAAACAAAGCCAGTACATTAGCAATGCCAGGTCAGTTCAATTCAAAGAATCTAGTATCGAGTTAATGGAAGTCAACACATTAGACAATTTATTGTAAAAATATTCACTATAATAACTACACACCAAAGTGGATAATAGCGCCCTGGAATTAGAGATAGTCAGTCAGTGATGTATTCCAGAAGAAGAAAAATACCTATTCTGCATTCTATCACGTAGCAATGAATATTAGCATCTCTCATTTTGAACAAAGCGCAATCGAGATTCCAGCAGTGTCTTAAGAACGAACTCTTGACTCAAATGACCGGATGATTGGGTAGTTTCTTACTAGTTAGCATTGATCCAGCTACCGAACGACTTCGTAATTATTTATTACCAAATGATCACATGAATTAATCAAAAGCAAACAAATTATTCAAACTACAAAAATTAATGTAAACAAAACACGTAGTTCAGCGAAGAGTCTCTTTTCGGCGAAATCATTTTCTTAGCTGTACAGTCGCAAATAGATATGAGTTATTTTGTATGCATGTGTACATTAAGTTTGTCTAACAAAAATACAATTAGTTGTTAGTTATTTTTATTAGACAGGTGAAAATTAGTAAGTTTTGGGTAGAGTTAAGTAATACAAAAATGGTCAAGAAAATTGGGTGTGAATGAAATTAGTGTTTCTCTAATGGCTTATAATTCAAGAAAAAAATCTTCGCGTTCGCCTCAGCAAGCTTGATGGACAAAAAACTTGTTCAGTCCTTTTACCATCGAACGGTCCTTGCTTCTCTTCAAATCACGGAATATACACATTGCATCATAGGAATTATTAAGAAGTCAGTTGCAGCGAAGAAAATTTTCTTTCCGACGAAGTCATCATCTAGGCTGTACATTCGTGTATTTATAACAAATGGATGGGAAAGTTCCAGAATAATTCCCGGTTAAGGGTCAAATTAATAAAATTACAATTAGGAATTAAAATGCCATAATAAACAGGAGGACGGATAAAACTGAAACAAAGTAGCATTATAATACCTAAGAAGATTGACATTGTGCAATTGGGGGTTAGAAATGTAGAAATAACAAAATAGACAGGATGTTTCGATAAAAAACTAATGTGATGAATAATTGTTTATGCAATCAGGGATTAAATATGTAGAAATAGTAAAATGACAAAATAAACAGGAAGTTCGGATATGAAAATATGGTAGTGTAAATAGGGGTTGAGAAAAAATAACATGAATAAACAGGAAGTTAAGATAAGAAAGATGATGAGATCGTCATTAATAAAAAATTTACCTGTTTATGATGGCCATGGCAGGGACAGGGGTTGGACGTATTTCTTTTGGATACAAAGAGTGGGTTTGAGCTTTTGAATAGCTAGTGCCTCGGCTGTGCGCAGATGCCTCAATTTCACTTTGTTTGATAAGTTTGATCAAATCTTGTGTAATTCTTGCTTATAATTCTTGTATTCACATTTAGAACTCTTACGTAATTCTGTATTCTCTACTTTGTTCCTATGTGTATGCTGAGTACAACTCAATCATCAAACTATTCATATTATTACGTAACTGTATCTTGACAACTGTTTGTGACAACTCATCACCTTTGTTACTACACTAGTTTCATTAACACCCAATTTTCTTGACCATTTCTGTATTACGTAACTCTACCCAAAACTTACTAATTTTCACCTGTCTAATAAAAATAACTAACAACCAATTGTATTTTTGTTAGACAAACTTAATGTACACATGCATACAAAATAACTCATATCTATTTGCGATTGTACAGCTAAGAAAATGATTTCGCCGAAAAGAGACTCTTCGCTGAACTACAAGAATTAAATCACACCATGACTTAATGTCAGTTAGGTGAGACTTCAACCTGGAACTACAGATGAAGTGAACTTCAGTGAATATCTACTTGAAGTTACGAATGACCTTCTGTATGATTAAGGTTCATAGGATGAAATTCATTTAGACAGTTGGCGTAATTACAGTTCACAAACATACAAGCAAATCAGTTAGACTAGCTTAAGGGCAATGTGCGATAGCTGTAGTGAAATAATAGCCTGATCAGCATCTAAGTCTAATAGTTTAGACAGTGCAGTGTTCACTTAGCGTACCCAGAGGCTACACAATAGAATGCTAGAGCCAACGACTTGCCCAGGTCTTCACCATTTCCCTTTTAATTATAATTCAACATTAAAACCAATAAACAATTTAAAATTCAAAAGATTTAAAATAAAAGAAAAAGAAAGATCTACTTACCCTCCATCAAGATTTTGAAAGTATGGATCTTTGCCGGCAGCCTTTTTAGCTACTGCTTCAGCCAAATTCAAAGTACTATGTGATATTTTACTCTTAACTTTCCTTAATAAACCTCTATGTTTACCACCTATGAGAGAAAGAGGGAGAGGAGTAAGATAAAAACAGAAAAGGAATTATAAACAAATAATAATAATACAATGAACTTTAAGGCTTATCTCACATGTTCTACTAAGCAAAATAATAAGAGACATGAGATAAAAAATAGGATAGAAGAAATAAGAAATGGAACCTTTCTTACTCAACCAATCAGATATAAAGATGACACAAAAACGATCAAAATTTGGTGAACTCAAATGATATACTTAAACATTTCCATTTTGAAAAATGAAAATCTCAAAAATACCATCTATGGATGAGATAACTTGGTGTCCAAGAGTTAGTTTGCAAGGGTTTGATGCTTGCTAGTGCAGGACGAAGTTGCCTGGAGTTCTAGTGAGAAGTTGTGACCACTGGGGTATACATCCAGTAGGCAGTGAGGACAGACACTCACCGATGACATTGGCTGGTGGTTGCGGTAAAATCAGGAAAGGAGTTCTAAAAGAGATACAATTATATTATACATGGTTAATTCTAATGAGGTCACTTCATATCAAAGCCTGAGCTAAAGCTGTCTTCTGGAAGGACAACAAAAGCTTCGCAATCAAATCGACTACCTTAGAGAACACAAGCAAATAAAAATCATTCCCTTGAGCTACAAATCTCTATTATATGGTAATAAATATTCCTTGAGTTCTGAGTGGCGAATAGGGCTTCAAGCATTCAAGTTTCAGTAGCAGTGATATTGATAGCTTTATATCTAACCTTCCGAGTTTTAAAACTTACTACAGGCTAGAAATAAGCGACAGTAGGTAATTGAACCCAGACCAAGCGCGTGGTTGGCAAGCGTTTTTACCAATGACATTACCGATGCAGAAAACCAGAAAGCACACTGGACAGCTGTTTCATCCTATTTTAGGAATTTTCACCAAGAATTGAAACCAGGACCTGCGGGTTAAGAAGCCAGCTGGTTGATCATTCGGACACTTAAACTATATGTACACAGTTTCATGGTAAGTGCAACCAACGTTGAATTTTGTGTATACTGACGTAATCACGAATTCCGACGTTAAATGATGACGACAATACACCATTATTATCATGACAATGAAATTAACTGGTAATTGATTGATTGATTCATTAAAATATAAAACAATTAAGTACGCGAGAGAAAGAAAAACCGGTTACATACAAATACGCATACACACACACACAGTGCAACGTTTTTGAAAATGTGTAAACAAGATCAAGTAATACACTAAACTCACATGGAAAAGTAATTATTGAATTGAATGTGCATAAAACACCTCTCTCTTATTTCCCATAAATTCATCCGCGTAGATGGTGATTTAGTCATGAGTGAAAATTAATGTGAAGGAGCCATTGAGTTTTGCACCTTTCACAAGCATCCACTCAAATGGTAAAAAGAATTAGGAACCAGGGTTCGTCCTATTACTATTCATCATATATATAGGAAAGGGAATCTAGTGAACCATAATTTACAACTTCTATCATCCGATGTTACCCCCAAACAAGCCAATCGGTTCCAATTTCAAGTCCCAGCCAACTCTAGCATAGCCAACTAACTAATTGGGTGGTATCTTCAGTTCTCACACACAATAAATGTTAGCTCATAATCCAATTTCGGATAACTAACCCCTAAATACACTAACCGTTACCGTCAAACTGCACTTATAGACCCCACACCAATGATTACTTCATATTACAAGTTGGAGGGAATTCAAGGAATACTGAGTTGTACCGACCCAGAAAAGAGAACTTTAGAAACACTATTTAGTGAACTGGCAGAATTTGAAGGATGATAAATAACTGGGCGCCAACTTCACAACTAAGTACTAACGTATTCCTACTGTTAACTGTCAGGAGAGAAATGCTAAAATGTCTTGAAATAGGAAGATGAAATGATTATCGAATAGCCCTTGATTACTTTTTTAAAAACATAACAGGAAAAGAACTTTTATCAAAGTAGGAGAAAGAGAATAAACAATACACAAGAACAAAGCGCTCCCCCTATAAATCTTTCCGAATATATATACCACCACCTATCATCCAGGTCTAAGTAGTATATAAAAAGTAGTGATGTCAAAAACACAGTAAATTCATACGTCTTCTTTCTAGCTTTATTACAACATCTGTTCTGTTTTGTTTTATTTGAAAGAATGCCTTATCATGAATTTGAGTATGTGTGTGTATATGTGAATGTGTCAGTAAACTCCATTCAACATACTTTTAGGATTCAAACCGATTCCAATTAGATATGAGATGACATTATTCTGATAGTGTTTTATTTATAACAGAACTCCTTATCAGAAATTTATACATAAATATTGTTTAGAATTCATCATAAAGTTGTATGCCAAAAATTCTATTAAAAGTCAACAAACTGCGTAGAGTCCCATGCAAACTGTTAATGCCCCGCATAATTCATTTGTGACAGGTTTGCGAAAAACACAATGAACTGTCTTCCATTTACATTAAGAATCAACAATTTTACAATTCCAGGCTATAGATCATTCTGATGACTAGGAGCATGGGTTACAAATAATCAACAGCCACGTGGATTGCCATATAGTTGGCAATAAACCACATCTACTGCGTGACAGCCAGTTGAAGTAGGTTTGTAACCCATGACCCAATGGTCGGAAGTTAAGTTGCCCTGACCACCAATGAACACCTCAGCATCACAGGTACATGGGTAGATATCGTTAATGTCCCAAACCAGAATACAAATTGCATTCTAGTATTCCTTGGCTTCCAATGGCTCCCATGCTAACATTCATCTATACAACTAACAGTCGGACTAACGGAATTAAAATTAGCCAAGATATGACCATAATGTACCGGGATAATTATTGAAACTGAGTTAAACTCGAAATTGTAGTAGGGTTTCTACATATATATATTCCGATCAAATGACTGTGTTTCCAGTTTATTTCATTTCGGAAATGTAAGGGTCACCCAAGAGAAAGAGAGAGTTTTATTCAGTTATCACGCAGAGTGATTCTTTATTTTTTAAACTGCTACCTGATGCCTTACTAAGTGTTTTTTTGCATTTCCGTTATAATCATTCAACAGCTACTCAATGCTTCCTGATCTTAAACTGATGTTGGTTCGTGATGAAACGTAACAAGTGAAATTAAGAGACAATAGTTACCACAAAAAAACAACCCCAGATACTTGATTAAAAACTTTTGTTCGATAAAATATCAGATATAGCGGAAAATATAATTTCCAGTGATATTTTCAGTTCACGTCATTTCTGTGTGCGTGTGATTACATTTTTGACTAATGGTGCTTAAAACTGAAGAAAATATCAGCTGATATTGTAATGCTTTTTTCTATTGTCAGTTAAAATTAGAATAATACAAACAGAAAGAATAGCTACAAATCTCAATAATATTGTGTAAAAATTTAATTTAATACATATTTCTTTCATTTAAAGTTATTAGAATGAAACATGAAAAACTTGGTAGTTGTACACAACGAATATAAATAGGACATTCATATTGTACGATGAAGTTTAACGAAAATTTTGTTTCAGAGTATAAGTGCATAAAATATTCTCAATTAATGCCACGATTACACAGTGACTCTATACTGTCATCCAAACATTTTGATCTATTCAACATCATATGGATAGTGTCAAGAATAACGAACAGCAGAACTGCACTATATATATATATACTACTACTACTACCACTACTACTACTACTAAACGACAGTTGTGGTTGTGAAAACCACTCAGTTACTCACACTAGTGAGTAGGAAGGATTTGTAAGAGTTATTTTTATACATTGAAGTATAATATACAATTCTTTTGCTCATTTTGGACTTTCATCTACCGATGTCCAACACACACGCTTTCTTCCCTAATTTCAGTCTTTTAAAAAGTTTTTATAGAAGGCAGTACATCAAGTACTATAAATTTCTGCCATGAAAACAAAAAATAACCTGCTAAGTAAAAGTAAAAAAACTACTCAGTAGTTGAAACACTATAAAATCCTTTAAAATTGACTTGTGAAGACAGAAGAGACATCAAAAATACTTTCTCATTGTTCTATAAGATAAAATTAACATTGACATTCCATTAAAAAGATGAACTATTTAATGCGTTCTATATATTTACTACATACGCACATAATGTTTGTATTAGAGATGAACACAATAATACAAGGTCAAGCTAAATTAAAGCTGTTAAAAAATTCTATTAAGTCCATATTTGAAAGAAAATACAAAAATGAATACTGCAAGAGTGTATAAAATTAAATAAAACATTACAAACAGACCCTTCCATAAACTCCATTATAGATAAGATTTTATTTTGATAAGTCACAGTGTTGTACAGTAATATTGACTGATGACGTTTCGAGGACAAACTATTGCTCATAAACATATGAAGTCACTCACACAGCACTATGTGACTTATCAAAATAAAATCTTATCTATAATGGAGTTATACTCTACCACAGTGCCCAAGTTTTATACTTATATCAACCTTCCATAAACTCTACGTTTTCAAGTTTTGGTTTGTAGAGATTTGCTTGGCTACAGATTATGTTACAGGCTAAAATCATTTAGAGAACCAATAAAAACCAGCATGGAGTAATGCACAGTTGTCTCGTTTTAGTTTGAGATCCTTCGTCAGTACTCATCCACCAGGGTTACAAATCCAGGACCTTCCGGTTACAAGAAGAACTCTTAGACCCTTCAACCACTGAAAGCCAAATCCAATGACCCATGAAATACAAACTTCCACCAATTCGCTAAGATCTTGGGTTCAAATTCCAGTGGGTGTGTACTACTGAAGAGTCTCGAACTAGGAAGAAATAACTGTCCAACTTATATTTTGTAAAACTGTTGGAGTGTCAAAAGAAGCTATTTCGGGTAATCGAATGAGATCATAGATACAAGAAGTAACTTTAGATCTTTTCTTGAGTCTGTACACATGATGAATGTTTTAGGATACTCCCTTCACACACACACAAAGTCGCTCACTCAGAAAGAATACAAACTGGAAGTTTTTTCAACTCCAGTATTTTGGAACTCAATTACTGGGACAGACTTTTTATGTCCCAGAATACAAGTAACACAATAGTTATATGAAGACTGGTGATACCAGATTGAAGTGGGTGAAGCGGCACTGGCTGAAAGTCGATCGGTTAAACAAATGAGTCACGTCTCCAAGGGATTTTAGTTTGCAAGACGGCTTATGACCAGTTCAGTAAAGCGGAAAAAGCAAAACAACTGTCAATAATAAACAGGTTAAAATAAATGAAAAATATACAACATTATTTTTACTTGATTTAGTACTGCTTGCCAATGATCCACCTAATTCAGATTGAGCATATGGACTGTTAGCATTGGATTGATACATTGGTGGTAATCCCGTTGGTCCGCCAAATTCACTTGCAGTACCATCATTTTCAAATGGATTATATGACATACCAGGCACTTGAAGTGTGGAACCACTGAATTCACTTGCTGCATAACCATTATTAAGATTACTTTTCGACTTGTGTCTAGACCTAATAATAATAATAGCAGAAAAAATGGAGATAAATTGGACATAAACGTTAAGGAAACATCTAAATGAAACTATACACCAGACTGCTGAGTAGAACTTGAATAGGTAATGACAGGTCGGGCATAGGTTAGAGGGTGACATAGGGAAAATCATGTGACAAGGAAGAAAAGAAAGCTTCTAAGCAGTCATAGAGTCAAGTGAAGGTGGCTACAAGCAACAGATGTCCTAGAAAAACCCAATGGTCCATTCGGAACTCAAACAACTATAATAGAAATGATTGATTTTGAGCTATATCTCCAACTACTGTTACTCACCTTAACGTCAGAGACAGACAATCAAAACATTCGTACACAACTCAGTAAAAGGTTAGTGACTTCCTGTTTTAATGGTGTCATATCTTGAACATATTTTGATATTTTCCAAAATATCCCCAATTGAGGAGGATAGAAAATATATACATATACCTTAGTCGATGGAAATTTATACCTTCATCGACTAACTGAACTTGAAACAGAAAGAGCATTAGTGACCACAAAGTCCAGGGAGCAACTATTCGAGGCCAGTTACACATAACCTGCTTAGAGTGGTTTTTGGAGTAGTGTCCTTACAAAGACCTTAAATCTGGTTATGGGCAATCACAAGGTGAGCCAGGATGCACAATTTTTGCGGTGGACTTTTCCGACAATCACATCGCCGGTTTCCCAGAGCGAGAAAGTGGTATAGTTGACCTACTGGTCCTCTAAGGTAAAAAAAAATTGCTGTTGCTGCACCACGACGTTTTCCTCAGACCCTGAACATGTGTAAACGAACTAAATTATGATGATAATTACCATTAGTCTAACTTCTATTCAACTGGCTTTTATGGCATGGGAGGACCAGCAGGAAAATCCATTCCAATCAGTGTTATTGTGATATGCCAGCCTAACAGCCACATCAAGATTTACTGACTTGCTTACTTCTATAAGTGTTAGAAGATAATCAACAGTTAATCAATGGGAGTAAATGAAGAAAAACTGAAAACAAATTAACAATTATAATGATACACCCCTTACTTTGAACGTATTTTTGCGCCAATATGATTAAGTGAACCACGTAAGGATTTAGAATGTTGTATAGTATTAACCTGTGTACCTGGTGGCCAAAAGTCAATAGCCCATATCCAGTAAACTAAACGACCATGTGGATGAGAATTTTTTCTTGTTGGCTCCAATTCAGAATAGGATAAACGTGATAAATCAAAATTTGGATTGCCAGTTTGTGGAATTTGATTTAATGGTATATTAACTTGTCCAATATGATGGTTATCACCATCGACTACACGTAAACATACTGGATCTGATGGACTAATCAAGTCTCTACACAGATAATAAAATAGAAATAAAATATGAGAATTAATAACGGCATCACTGAATATATGCTATTGAAGAATCCCAATCTAGGACGAAAAAGCTCTCCAGTATTCCCTGGTTTTAAGGATTCTCTAACTGATATTAATTCATGATCAAACTTGAAATAAATTAAATCTCTACAAACCAACTCTTAAAAATTAATCTGATGCTCACCAATAACTTAACAGAGGAAGTAGTAGGGTGAGTGAGGACAGATGCTCACCGATAGCATTGTAATGGCAAAAGACAAGGGCCAGGCAACATACTGTTTATTGAGAAAATCAAGAAGTATTTATAGATTTTTATGTGCGTTATTATCAGCGTTACTGTTAGCGGAAAAGCAACCTTTTCTGATTGTTTGTTTTCTTGCTGAAGGCTGTTCTGTTATCTCTTTGTGGCCGTTTCTCAGAAAATCAAGTCATATAGCTATGAATCATATTTCCACACTTTAACTGTGCTGTGATTGGCAGGTGATTTTATCAAGGTTAAACCTTGCTATTGTTTTCCTCACAACCCTGATTCGGGAAGTGAACATTGACGTGAATTGTTGTCTACAATTCTGGCTTGCAGCCAGCCCTCACCACAACATCACCAGACGATCGCACTGTATCACGAAGTGGCAGAAGTTAGAACTGATAGGACATTGGATTCCGTTCTAGTGGCTGAACGGATAACCTGAAGGTCCTGGGTTCGACCCATGGTAAGATGGGTCATGGAGGCGTATTGCTGATGGTTTTTGAATAAGTACGAGACATTTTTTAATGGTTCTCTAGCTGAAGTCGATTTGTGACCAAAACTGAAATCAAGCAAATTCTTGCAATCTAACACTTGGAAACTAGTGAGAAGTTAGAGATACATCTAGCATACGAAAGCAAAATGAAACTGTGAAGCTTAAGTAGTTACACTCTGCAGTTAAGAGTGGCTTCAGACGCCATTCTGGAGACTGAGACACTTGATATAGTTATCAAATAACCCGCTGGTGTTCACATTATTACGCAAAAAGTACACCCATTCATAAACCAATTGCTTGTTTACATTACAATTAGATGCTTTCGGTTTGTGTCAACGTATGACAGGTGGTTGGTGCAGTTGTTAAAATGGTCTCTATATAATCCCCATCCCCCCAGTCCATCATTACTGTTTCACATATTTGGACCTGAGCAAATGCGTAGCAGTATAAGCATCTGGGACTCAAGTATGGTACACTGCTTAGAACAAAGAAAAAACTTCTATGGGGTAAGTGAGTTGCACAACCGAAACTATTACTGAGACAATAAACAGTTAACATTCTTTATTACTTTTTGGACAACGTTACTTTTCAGTTGACTGTTTTCATTCCATGTCGGCTGCAAGCCTGTTGCATAACACAAAGAAACTATATGGAAGGTATGTTTCATCAATCGCTGCACTGAACAATTTCACCAACTGATTTGACAACTTTAATCAAATTCATTCGTTTAAGCCTTCATATTTCCCACTTTGGTGAAAACGGTGGACCGGACAAAGGTAACTTCTTGATGCTATTTCCATTAAGCTACATCTTAGAAAAGTTTGTTTTCAGGTTAATTTTGTATTTCCTGTTGATTAATGATTATTGTTGGACGGAAATGTTCGTTATCCGTTCTTGACATGCCGGCCCTCCGAGTACTGCTTAGTTACAACCAACCAAAATAATTCTACATCTTAGAGAAAAGGTTGTAATCCTAAGCTTTCTTATAAATCCTAGTAGTCACACTACCAGTTACTCTAGTTACCAGAGCCATAGTGCTGAAGATATATATATATCTTACACACGCATGGAGAAACGACAGACTTATTCACTTTAAAAAATCCAAAAACAAACAGATAAAACTTTTCAAGTATTAGTTTGTAGGGATTTTGTTTGATTGGTTGAAGGATTGCATCATGAGCTGACATCTGTTAGAGAACCATTGGAAAACCTGCAGGGAGTACTGTATAGTTGTTTCGTCCTAGTTTGGGACTCTTCAGGTTATCGAAGACATTGCTAAGTGGTCGTACTGTGTCATGAATTGGCAGAAGTTAAAATTCATGGGCCATTGTATCAGGTCACAGTGGCTTAATAGTCTACGAGCTCACCTTGTAACCACACACACACCAGGAGAAGAATAATTAAGAGTGAAACCAATATTATTATTATTAGAATACAAGATTGGTACATAATGAGCACCAACATATTCCCCGGACACCCAGACCGATGCAGGTGATTGTCTTTGGTGGCCATTCCCCCGTCGAGCCTTAGACTTGAATTCTAATCTACAAGGCAGCGGTGCAGCGTCAGCAGCTACGTTCCCAAAACACGTTCACACACCATTTGATCTGTTCGGATTCTGGAGCCTGTGTATGCCACAGGTTTGGAATCAGGGTTTTCCAGCCCCCTTAGCTAGGTGGACCAGCATATGCCGCCAATTGGTTTGTAAGCATCAGACAATCGAATTTGTGTTTTAACTTTTGCGAGGATAGTGAATACAACTCACTTGGTAGAGGCTACAAACGCGTGACCACATGGGAACATTTCGAGAGGAAAACCAAAGTCTACCGACCCTCGGTTTTATCAGATTGTTTATAGAAACTAAACCATTAATCAGCTCATTTACGCCATCATTTGTTTGACATCATTTATTCTTGATATAAATCCCCCCAACCGACTCAGCTTTATTCTGATTGTATCTTTTATTTTGATTAAACTTAGATTAGTTTAACTTGGAAGTGGTGCTATTCACATGGTCGCAGCCTTTGTAGAGACAGTTTTCTCCAATAGTTATATCTTACAGATACATTTTGTAAATAAGTTTTAGCCACACAACTTATTGTCAAAAAGCAATTACATACTTTAGTTTTACATCTCACATACTTATGAAAACACTTCCAGAAAACAATATGAGTTTGAACTAACTGAAGGAAAATGATGAAGAAATATGTTTATACACTTACAGTGTTACTTCACAATCCCATTTTGGACAACCATCCTCAGCATCAACATACTCTGAGGCTAATTTGTCTTCTCCACCCAAAAAAATAACGCGCCATCGACGATTTTTAGAAGCTATTTGAAAATAATACATAAATGTATAAACATATGAATGTATATTAACCTCCATAAAATGAAGTATACCAACATGAATGATGATAAACAAAGAAGACTTTCATTAGGGGGGGGGATAATTACTGCAACGTTTCAGTGTTTCAGGTTTAATCACAAGCTGACATCAGTTAGAGAATCAGTGGAAAAACAGGAACTACGGGACAGCTGTTACGTTTTGGTTTGGGACTTGTCACAGTACGCACCTACCGGATTTCGAACCCAGGAACTTCCAGTCATAAGGCAGGCTCATAAACCATTCAGACACTGGGACGCGATCCAACAGCCTATTAATCCCAACTTCGGTCAATTCGTTGTATGTATAGCGCAACTGTCAGACAATGTCATAGGTGAGTAACTGTCCTCTCGTCTGAATCAATGGACCCCGCTGGTTATGACTTCTCACTAGAATTCGTGACAAATCCTTGTGTGTTCAGCCAGTCACTAGTGAGCATCAGATTAATTACCAAGTATTGATTTGTGGAAAATTGATCCGGTGGGTACTGTCGAAGAGTCCCAAACAAGGAGGAAACAGTTGTGCAGTGATTCCGGATTTCACAATGCTCCTCTAACTGATGTCAGCCTTTGATGAAACCTCCAACCAATCAAAACCCTGCAATCCAACAGTTGAAAGTTTCTGACCACAGCTCTAGGTGTTAATAATACCTTTGATGTTGCGGACACACCCTACAGATGTATGCAAACAAATGCGAAACTTAGGTCGATGGTTTCCTGTCAATTGTCTCTAATGTGTCATATTTTAGAACATTATCACTCTAAGGATAGGTAGTCAAGCACTTGTGATTCGTTTATTGATGATGCTAGAACAAATTGAAACACTTTACGACTGTTCTTTCTCTTTCAAATCAAAACAATGAAAGGAATAATCTATTTTACAAAATCTCTCCACATGTTGAACATAGTCCCAACAATGTATACTTTTCAAAACATAAACCAATATGAATACCACTTTTGTAATAACAGACGAGTAAGAGAATCCAGTCAAACAGAAACTAAAAATATGTCTGAAGGATAATGTTATTTTAACTACCACCACTTTAGTATTTAACTTATCAGTCAGATACACACATGCTTAGGATCTAGTAAGAAATCTACCCTTTTATTTGGCATGCTCTGTAGCCTACTGAATTTGCCTAAAGCAGTGCAAAATAATAACTAACCATATAATTAAATTCAATTTTACGATGAAATCAAGTACCGGTAAGACATTCAATATCAGGTGGAATTTCCCGCATTGTTCCCACTGTAAACCCAAAGTAATCACAGATCTGTTTAAGAGTTCAGTTTCGCTTGAGGAAACAACAGCCACCCATTCCTTAAAACATCATAGTCTGGCTATCGAGCAATACTGGTGAGTATTAGTGATTTTTAATAATACTCGTATAGAACAGCAATATGATGGATAGTTGAAGGTAATCAATACTGAACTCTGGAAGTAGTTTTCGTGCTAATCGGCATTCGTCAGCAAGGTGCATCTGCAACCTTTAAGGAACTGACTGATAACCCTCCAAGGAATTAAACCTGTCTCAAAGATGTTACTACTGAACTAATCGAGTTTACAACTGACATCCTATGGGACTTTAATGGACATAATTATTGGTGATCAAAGAGTAACCAATGTTATGACTCTGGTCCTTGCAGTTGCATTCTATGAGTCAAGTTGACAATGTGGTTACCAAGCTGAGTGAGACTAACTCAGAGTGAAACAAATTACGAGCATTTTTTTAGAGTTTGAGATTAATAAATACAAATACAATTTGTATTTCAATTAGTCACTGATGTTGCATATTTATGAACGAAACTCAGTATGCCATTTTAAGCGTCATATTTTGTGTTCAGTGTAGCCATCCTGTTAGTGAACACAAACACTCTGACACAGTGTTTTTACAACCTTTGCTTAGCACAATCACAAGCTTTATTATTTACCTGACTCAACAGTACAGTAACTTCTTAAAAGAATACACACATCTATTAGTTCTCAGTGGTAATTAGATATTGATCAACTTCGTTCTATTGTATTAAGTTTCATATCAACAGTGTTTATTTGTCTGACATTACGAACATACTGAAAATTCCTCAACTCAACAAATTGTGTAAACCACTTTTTTTTCATTTCTTTGCATTCAGAGTGGAACAAAAGGCTTCAGAATTCAGCTTAGAAGTTTCAGCGACAGGTTTGGGTTACAAGTCTCAAATCCAACATTCCCTCTTTACCGTGCTTATTATCGGCTAAACGAGGTTTAGGGATGTGCCAGCTAGTAAGTCAATCCGTACCAAGTACATATTTGTCAAGCAATCTACAACTGAACCATTGACAGAGCAGTCGGTAAACCACTTAATGACAGAAAACCTATTGATAATATAGAAAGCATTTTACAAGTAAATAGGATAATACGATAACTAGTATATTGACAAGGCGATTATCCAAAAAATCTCTTATTACTGATTTCAGTCATATACAGGACGTGTAGATTGACTCACTGGAGTCTTTAAGTGGTTTCATTTTAACGTCAAGAAGTGTAGTAATTTCATTGAAGTGTTTTACTTTCGTTTCTTATATTTTGTTATTTTCCAGTTAGTTGGACATTTTGTTCTCTGAACTGATTATTTCAGTGCATTACCGGTAAGGTTTGTGCGTCCATCGTTCAACGGTAGAACGCTCACAAGCCACAAAGGAAGACCGAAATTGATTCTCTGCGGACGTACTCCCAAAACTTTCCCAGGCCGCTAGTAAATCCGGGAAATAAGGAAGGTTGGGCGTGAGACTATCAACCTCACACCCAGTAAGAAAATAAACATCACCACTACAGAAACTTCAAAACTATGTTCCACTCGGAAAATAAAGGAATACAAGAAAAACTGATGTACAGCGTATCTAGAAGTAAGAGTAAAATAATTAGTACTTACCCTTTTTGAGTGATGATGTATACTCTAGATTTTCTCCACGCTTTACTATAAATAAAAATAGACATTTAGAAGGGTAAAAACGCGCAAATATATTAACCAGCATCAGATTTTACAACAGAAATAATATCAAATATTAGTGTGACATTCGTAGCAAGGAAACGAACTTAAAGAAAGTATAGTTAAAAAAACAGCGCTGAATTATTTCGTTATGCAGAGGAATGACCACCTGAACCATTTGATGAATCTATTGAATATGAGGATTATGTGACCTACTAACCCTGATAAGCGGATGTTAATCACCCTTTTTTATGTCTATATATACTAGTAACTATCAAGAAAACCACTCACAACAACCAATGGCTAGTAACAGTTCATGTGTTTTGAGTTGATTTCGCGCTAGCAAAGCAGAATCAAACTAACTACACCATGGATCAGCTTGAATTCAAATTAGCGATAGAACTGTTCGGTGTTTAGACCACTTCAATCAGGCTAGCAAGCACTACTGTTCAGTACGAGTGGTTTCCAGCTACTTATATTCATCAGCAGTATATGCTGTCACATATTTATGCTATTTCAGTTGCTTTCTTGATTGTGATTTGTAGTATCAAGCTAATCACATATAGTGATCTGAATATTTTTGGTTTTTGAAGGAGTCCATGGTGAATTTTCACCTTGAAAAGTGCAATTTATTAACGGCGAATTCTACTCGGTCACGTGCACTTGGCAACGTAAAATAATTACTGCATGAGGATTTACACTACATGCCCATATAAATGACCTGATACGGGCTACAGGGGTAGGTAGACTTCGGTCTTTCCCTCCAAACCCTCTCATGTAGCCACGCGTCCACAGCTTCTACCAGGTAAGTCCTATTTACTGCCTCTGCGCAGCTGGGGTGTTCCTCACAAAAGTAAAGGGATAATGGGAGCGTCTGGTGTTTACAATCCGACTATTGGACATTTAGATCTACCTAGGGGAGCTGGAAAACCCTGATTCGAAACTTATGGTGTTCATAGGCTTCAGCATCCAGACAGAAAAAATGGCATATGGGCCTGTCTCAGTCACCGGAAACCATGGAACCGTAGCTCCTGATGCTGCTCCAGTACCTTGTGGATCATAGGTGAGGATGGACAATATGTCTAGGCGTACTGTAATCTTTAATTTTGATATGTCTTACAAAATTGCATCATTAATTTCCCCTTGCTGTAACTAAATAGCACTATTCTGACTCAATACAGCAGTGAAGATGATATGGTTCATATGGCTGAAGCAATCGAATTTCAGCCAGTAAGTTCCAGGTTGAGATGACTGACTGACAGAAGTGCAACAGTTCAAGTTGCCACATTCCGTGTAGCACACAAAAACAAAAGAGAATGAAAAAGGGATTCAACAATACTACAATATGCAGAAATTTAAGGGAGAAATAATAGTTACATGGAGAAACACTAGGGCTTAATAGATATGGAAAATCAAAACAGTGAACGCATCTGCACAACTGAGAAAGATTTTAAGCCATACCACCAATAGTTTCTAGCTATTCTTTCTTTGCATCCCGACAACCCCGACCAGGCAGTCTACACTTCCCCCTACATGGCTGTCTCAAACCAGCTGTCAAAGACTTCATGGTCTGATTCCAGGTTTTAATTTGGCCACCTCTAACTCTTTTCCAACCTAATGTTATGTTAGCTAACATTGCCTGCCGAGGAAGGCGATGGCTACACAAGCGTAGCACATGTTCTAGCCATCTCATTCGATGTAGCTTCACAACCGCATTGATAAACCTCCCCTCTTTACGTAGCACTCGACGCCTAACCCTACTACTGCTTATCGCAGTATACCAGTTAACACGGAAGATAGGAGGCAAACATCTACAGTTGAAGACAGTCAACCTTTTCGTATGTCCCACTTTCAATGCCCATGTCTCACAGCCATAAAGGAGGATGAAACGAACTGCTGAGCTAAACACACATCCTTTAATTGATGGTCGGATATCAAATCTACGCTAGAGATAACTAATGTTAGCAAATGCCACACAAGCCTTTTGTATCCGTGTTGGGATTTCATCAACAATCAGTCCCATTTGGGGTGACAGAGCTCGTGGTTCGACCTACTTTAGGTGAGACAACCGAGTAGTATCATCAGTTGTAATAAAATGAGTATGGCTCCTAGACCGGTGGTTCCTTGGGTAAAGCAGCTCTAACTAACTGAGTTCTAGCACAAAAGTATGTGATTGGTTTTAATCCACACCGAAATCTGCACTTGTGCCTATTTTATCATGGAGATTTTTTATTATGTACTTCCTCCCTCAAGAAGATACAGAGGTTAGTGAAGTGATAAACTAGTGTTCATAAAAACGCAGAATACTATAAAAGCATGATTTTAAATTTAAATGTAACTCTGAGTCGGCGATGCAGCGATAGAATGCTTTCCAGTCACGCCATACGTGTTCGGGGTTGAACCCTAAACCTCGCCTAGCCGGTTGTAAGTTCAGTGAAGAAGTAAGGTTGAGACAAATGAGGCTAGCAACATCACCCCGCAGAAGACAAAAATCACTGCTACTGGATCTCTGAAGCTTAAGCTTCAAGCCCAATATTCTACGCGGAACGTAAAATGTACAATCATACTCCAAATGTTTGCTAGATAAATAGGCTGACTAAATTAATTAAATGCTGTGTCCTACAGTGGAGGTTTAAAGTTTAGTACCTACGTCAATGAGCAACAGTTTCATAACTTTAAACAGAAGCATTGCACACACAGAGAAGTGATGCGTCACATAATTAGCCTTTTACTTTACAAAACGAAAACCATATGTGGTGTTACACATATGTTGTTACACATATACTTTGTTTTTCCTAGCTAATTCAAAATAAAACTAATACGCATAAGAGTTGATTATACTATTTGAAAACAATAAAATATAAGAAATAATATTTACAAACTGTAACTAACCAATAATGCTGATTCGTTTGGGGATATTCATATTTAACTGCTACACAAATCTAATTACAAAATCGGTATATGTTATCCTATAAACAAAAAACAATATAAATAGGATTTTTTTAAATGTCTGACACAATAAAATGATGTGAAATTAAGAAAATAATGAAACCAAATCAGAAAATTCGTTAGACTATTTTAATTCACTTTAAAAATGATAATGAAACTTTCTTATGTTTTAAGCTAGAGGTACTGATGCAACTCTTCAGATAACATCATACATTCATGTTGGCAATAGCTAAGCGTGTGTTGATGAAAATTCACGAGGTCATCCACTATTTCATCTGAAGAGTTTACCACTTTCTCACACACATACACAAAACTCTAACTTGTGCTAACGATATTTTGACGGTGATAATTTCCCACTTGTTATATTCCTTTTTGACATATATTTAGGAATGGTAATGGTGTTAACATTTAGCGTTTATAGCCTTCGATACACTCTCGATTACCTCGATTTGGCTATCAGTAATGCAAAACGAACAAGCTTTTAGTAATCAGTACATATTACTAATCCCAAAAGGAATTTAGGGCTTCAACAGCTCATAGAGATTTCACTCTGTCCTGTGTCGTCCTTTTTAGCTACTTCCACATTTGCCCATAAGCTCCATTTCTGCTTCTCACACGATCTACTCCAGGTAGCCCTCACATCAACGCCCCATTCATCGTCTCCCATTCGAGTTCCACTCGACGGCCTGGAACGTGATATCACTCAATGTCCTCCTTAGTGTGTGTTCAATCCATCTCCATCTCCATACTTGTGGGAGTATACGTCCATGATTGGTTTGTTACCTTTCAGAATTACTTGTCGCTAATCCTTTCTGGTTGGTCATATGATCTTCAATATGGAGCGAAGGTAGCTGTTGATAAAAGTCTGCAGCCTACTGGGAATCACTTTCGTGACACCCCCACCAAGTCTGTAAAACAAATAGAAGCATTAACTTCATGTGTTGACAATTTGGTTCTTGCTTCTTAAGCTGAATTCAGAAGATTTCCACACTGATTTTAGATCAATTAAGGTTCGTATTGCTTTTGTGATTCTGCCTTATTCAGTATACCTGGTATCTACTGGCAAATACAATAAACATAAAACTGCCATCGATAAGACCAACCACTTTATGAACGAAAAACACATTTGACACTAAAACACTGCCATTCAGAGTATTCATAAAACTTTCTGTAAAACGCATCCCTTAATGATCATAATGTATCACGTGTGTTTGAATAAATAAATAAATACATTCTTCTACGTTGAGTTTAATTAAGAAACTCTATTTAATAGATTTGGAAAGTGATGACACAAGCAGAATGATAATTAACGTTGATAACTCTTTGATGTTTGAAAATACGGGTGCTTCGCTCGAATCCCAGTGAGAACACCATCACCCACTAGAGATGCAGATATATGCAGCAACTGACGAGTTCTAAAATAGAGTGCGACGCACGTCTTGAATTACAATGCTAACCAATATCAAAGCACTAAACTTTCAGCCAATGGGTCCCGGTTTAGAATCTCGCCCCACATACTTCAGCTTGGACAACTGGATAGCATCATTAGCCCTCATTCTATAAGTGCAGCTCATAGCCTCGTAACTTAGTTGACTAACGTGCGATAGGCTATGACGCAACAAAGAGATTTAAAGTAAAAGGTTATTATTAGGTCACATCTTCATAGAAACCATTAAGAAATCGATCGACTTGTCTAACGTCCACCTCAGTAAGTAATATTACAGTTAAAAGAGCAGCTAAAACGTCTTAGTGTAGAAAAAACATGATAACACACTCTCATCTTTTTCTAACTTCTAATGAGAAGTTAAGACATTCTTTAGAGTGAGACAGAGGACAACAGTACACAATGTACCGATACCCTATCTCAACTTAATTTAGCTGTTACAAAGCGTGTTATAAATTAAAATGCTAGTCAATCAACCAGGAATCTTTTTCTTCAATAGCATTTTCACATTCGCGTTGGATGTGTTGAAAACAACATAATTACTTGCTTTAAAACATTTAATTAGTACGATCGAACAATCTGAGAGTTCTGTACTAAATAAGTGTATGTGACAACTGTTAGTACATTACAGTTCAAAATATGTGTATGCTAGAATATGCATAAAACATCAAATTCACCGTCGGATACAAAAGCAAATACTCACGAATGACAATAAACATATAGCGAATACTCATAACTAACATACGAAGTGAATTATATTTGGTCTGACTTCAAATCTCATAAGAATGAAAGTTATTATCCAAAACTGGGAAGAATGGAGGATAAGACTGCGTGCGTATCAGTGTGTTAACGAATGCAGAGTCGAATAAGCAAAGACAAATTAAGAAAATAAAAGGTTTATTCGTACAAGTGTAAAAATATACATGTGAATGAGTCAGACATATTTTGTTGAAAAAATATAAGACGGATGGAGGTGAGTGTATACATACAGTACAAAAGGTCACACATAGAAATGTATGATGTAATATAACATTTACGAATTTACGCATTCCACAGCGGCGCAATGTAGCAATAGTGACTTAAATTGTCTCGAGTGTGCACGCAGTTCTGGCTACTTCAAGCGAATTACTGCAACTTCTGTCGTGTGAAGGATTAAGTCCCTGGTGGCTTTCGGGCAGCTTATTAAATGCATGATACACAATGGAAAGTGGCTTTGTGACCAGTTTGAAGCAGGTGAACTTATATTATTGACTGTTTACGATCTGTGTTGCTCATCTCTTTAGCAACACCGGTAAAGTTCCTTAGGACGAAACATAAAGTTTCCAGAGCAATGGTCGATGCAACTGCTTCTGCAGGAGCAGCTGAACCGACAAACACAAGAAGATATGGCTTAGGCACATCATTCTTCAAGTCAACTACCACATAGTGGAGGTGTAGAAAGCATGACTTGCAATTTACCGGCGTTAGAAGTTTCCTGAGTTGACTTTCTTCACTTGTTGATCAATACTTTATACATTTATTTCCCTTTATGAATCTGAATAATACTTCACTGCCCAAGTTGCATCTAAACTGTAATTGCATATAGGGTATATACCTGTTCTGAAATGTAAAATATTTCTATCCGATTTTCGTACCGATATGATTTCTTATGAATTACTCTGGGTAGGTATAGTCATTTAAGGGATCTTTAGTTCATCCACAGCCACATCTTCCGAAAATATAGCTCTCACTCTAGAGCTGCATCTTTATCAAATTCCTTTTGTACTGGAGAGGAACGAAGATATGGAAACGTGTAAACTGCCCAGTTCAGACACATTTCACACGTAACTTTTGGATGTTCTTGTTAGACGGACATTCAAAAAGCCAATATAGGATTTTAAATCAGGTAAAATAACATCCAAAGGAACCAAAATTTACAAATAAAACAGTTCGAAATTCACCAAAGTTCCCTTTGATAACCAAAATTACTCAGATCATAAAGCGTAACGACTGAATGCATTTTCAAAGTAGAACACCGAGGCGGCCCTTAGTTCGTCCATAGAACCCTTTTCACACCATAGCTGCCGAAACCTACAGCGATAATCCAACGGGCGAGTGTGGTAGGATGATCGCAGTCACCAATATTCACAGCAGAAGTCCCATGCACCTACCTCGATTACAAATGAAAATATTTGTCTTCCTTAATCAACATACATTACTATAAAAGCTTCTGTATTTCCCGAAGAATCGAAAACAAAACGATATTGTTTTACTGACGTTTCGCTATTTAATGCTAATAGCTTTATTAAAGTATTATGAAACCAGAATTTACAAAATCTCAACTTATATATAACAACTTAGTCATCGTTCATCAGCACGGGGTAATATTTACGTTGTCAAGTTGGCCAATTGGTAAAGATAACAAAACCATGTCTAGATTGTTGCATTTGATAAGCGTTAAGAATTATAAAAGCAACATGTGTTTACTTAATGAAGTTGCATATCACATTCGTGTTGATTTTGCCATTTCATGGGGAAGGCGGGTGTTGTAACCAAGTCAAATTTTGTATCAGTCCATCATTCCTATTCAGACAATTTGGATTCCATTTGATATAAATGGCTGGCTTCTGATATTACACGTTCTTTGCGATTTCTGAAATATATTGTCAAAATCAATTCTGTGACCTGATTCTATGGCGTGTAGACCTATGGCTGGTGATTTTTCAAGCTTTTCTAGTTCAACTGGGATTCCCGGTGGTTGAGCAGATGCTAAACGGTGTTCATTTCTGCCGATCTTGATTTCTCGTGATGTTTGTCCGATGTATATCGCATCACATACCAAGCATTTTACTTTGTAGACATAATTAAATTGAGGATCCCTAGGGATATGGTCTTTTACATTGACAAGGTTGCTTTGTATTGTGTCTGGTGTTTTGAAGTAAACTGATGTTTTGCTTATTGATATCGTCTGACGTTTCTGATCTATATGAAATGACAACTGTTGAGGCCCATCTCTTCGGAATACGGCTTTGACCACATATAATGTTAGTATTTGTTTTGTTAATGAAGTTCTTTGAGTAGTTATTTTTCTTGAGAATTTCAGTAGTTTGATATTTCTTGGTAGCAATGTCAAAACAGAAACAACACTTTATCATAACACTGCTCATATTAACCGTAGAAATTCCGAAGTAAGCAGAGATGCTAAGTTTGAACAACTTAAAAGTTTCTGGTGAACCTCAAAGACGCGGGACTAGTTCATGTACTCAAATGTGATTCCCGTTTTAAATGTTCTAAGTTATGATGCTATTCGATGACCAAAAATGAAGTGAGTTTGGAATTTGAACCTCACAACCCACGAAATATTGGCCTGAGTACATACCAATAACTCACATTTCTAAATTTTCACTACACTTAAATCTATAGGGAGAAATGAACCAACATCCCTATTTCTTTTGGCTAATCTCGAAGTCGATATAGTTTTAGAAATAGGGAAAATTGACAGGTTATACAATGAAAGTGACCGGGTTACGAGTAGCTAACGTCCCAAGAAC